ATGGAGGGAGTGGCGGCTCTCGCCTTCGAATAGAAAAGTTCATATGGGACTTAAACAACAACGAGTCCCCCAGTGGCACAGCGGCATGTCTGCGGACTTACAGCGCTAGAAACCGGATTTCGATACCCGTGGAGGGCAGAGCACAGATAGCCCTTTGTGTAGCTTTGTGCTTAAGTACAAATAAACAAAGAACAACGAAATTTTCATTTAGAGATTATTAATTTTAATTCACCAAAAATAATAAACAAACAAACGTATATATATATATCTATTGTAGAACATCACAAGTTTGTGTCTCATTAGCAATGCCTTTCATGTGTTCTGCCGGTGGCTCAGAAGCAATTCTGAAGACTTTTCATGGTAAAAATCGGGTTTTGAAACCTGCGGTGGGCAAAGCATCAGATAGCTATGTAGCTTTGTGCTTAACAACAAATATACAAAACCCTTCATGCGTAATTGATATTTGACGATTTGCTAGAAAGTCGCACCTCCGCCAGCATAAAGAAGTTCCTACACTACTGAATATTTTTCTTGGTTAGAAAACATCTCTTAGTCGTTATTGACGTACCTAATAGTGTTTTTGAAAACATTGGTAAAACACATACTATTAGGAAATATTTAGAGTGTTTCAACAGTATCAACTAACATACGTTTAAAGGTGTGTTTATGCGTGAATTTTTGATTGGGTAAGCTTCAATTACATCATTTGTATGCCGCACGCAGAAAAACTTTAATACTGACGAACACAAATATTCAGGCTTCACTAAGCCTGTCTCCAGAAAATTGTGCAGTTAGGTGAAATATAAATACATATATATATCAATAAATAGACAGACAGAGATATATAGATACTTGTATAATTATTTCATATATGTTGTCACACGTCACAGTCGTACACAGGGACAACTAGGACGACAACAAAGAACAATGTGTTAAAATTAAGAGACGTAATGATATAATGTGTTAAAATTAAGAGACGTAATGATATAATGTGTTAAAATTAAGAGACGTAACGATATAATGTGTTGAAATTAAGAGACTTAAATGATATAATGTGTTAAAATTAAGAGACGTAATGATATAATGTGTTAAAATTAAGAGACGTAATGATATAATGTGTTAAAATTAAGAGACGTAATGATATAATGTGTTAAAATTAAGAGACTTAAATTATATAATGTGTTGAAATTAAGAGACTTAATGATATAATGTGTTGAAATTAAGAGACGTAATGATATAATGTGTTAAAATTAAGAGACGTAATGATATAATGTGTTAAAATTAAGAGACGTAATGATATAATGTGTTAAAATTAAGAGACGTAATGATATAATGTGTTAAAATTAAGAGACGTAATGATATAATGTGTTGCAATTAAGAGACTTAATGATATAATGTGTTAAAATTAAGAGACGTAATGATATAATGTGTTGCAATTAAGAGACTTAATGATATAATGTGTTAAAATTAAGAGACGTAATGATATAATGTGTTGCAATTAA